AAAGTCTAAAGACTAATGACTACTCCATCATATGTATAGGCCGTAGACGACCACACCCAACACAAACCCACACGGGAAATAATACGTCTGGTGGATCTTGCACCTCTATTCAATGATTGAAAGACACCATGCAACTCTGGAAACAATAAGTCTGAGCTGTGTTTCTGGCTGTGGCTGCCACTCAGCTGCACCTAGACCTAGTGACACCGACTGTCAGGCTCGACCATGGCTGCTTGGTCCGAGGATTGAGAACAGTCGACTCACGAAAAACCCCTGGCCGTGTAGAATTGGAACCTCACGGTTGGGGTCGATCCGGGTAGGTAGGCCAGGCATGGACGGGAGACTAGAGCACAAGCACATAATGTAATGGTAATGTAACGACATAGACTAGACTAGTGACTAGACACCAGACATAGACTCTACATAGGCATAGCATAGCATAGCATAGCATCTGGTCACCAGATGAAAGATGTCTTCAGGGAACTTCAAGGGACTCTAGACTCTAGACTCGAGAATCTAGCTAGCAGCTAGCAGCTAGCAGCTAGCAGATACTTGAGAACCTTGCACATGTGAAACTTAAAGATCCACATCCATCTACAGACGGACTGAAACTCGACAGTTCAGCACTGAAGTTCTGGGAAACCCCTGACCCTGGCCTTTGGCATTCTCTCGGCTTCGGTCCCCAATGGCAGCAAGGAAGCAGCGAGTGAAGCTACAGCTCACAGCTACAGATTGACCATGCCGAGAAACCAAGCCAAACAAGGGGGTCTGGTCCAACCGCACGGGAGCACCAGCTATTGCCAGACTACTCAGAAAACTCAAGACCCAAGAGTCAACAGTGCAATGCCCAAAGTCCAAAGTCCTTATACCAGGAATAACCCCATTGAACACCCAAAGCTGCAGAGCTTTTAACGGATTTCTTACCCGGTCTTACCCAGGTTAATGACCCGGCCAAGGCCGATGCCCTGCTTAGACTTTACACTGTCAAAGTGCTGCTGCAGCTGCTACTGCTACAGCTGCAATGAGTCACAGGAAGCGACAACCACATATATAGATTCGCAAAATGCCAATTGATTCAGACTCGAACACAATGTGTCAAACTACTCCAAAATCCAGGCTTAACCCGCAGCGCCTGGGCCGAGACATCTGCATCCATAGAGCAGAATCCATCTCGAACTTCACCAAGAAGTAGCCACCAAATTTCATGTTCCCCTTCTTCATGTGCAGCAGCAGCCTGTAATGTGGGACAACAGAAACATGTGCTGCCTTGGGCCTAGGGCCTAGTGACTGTCAAGAACACTTCCCTTATTAGCCTCTGGGATGCACATCTAAGCTTGGAATGGATCTCACAGAACTGCCTGGCACCTTCATGATCTTGGCAGACTGACTTCCTGACTTGAGTGCTCTGTACCAAATAAGTCGAACAGCCTCCATTTCAAGACTGATGAGTTTGAGGGTTGAATTCCTCGGCCATTGCTTTGCCTGCTGCCTGAATGCTTCAAACAACCATCGACTCAGAATCTACACGATGCTGATTGGATATTCGGTTTTTCAGTGTTGGAAAATCTATGGCGAATCTGCACTACACTCTATGCTACACTGCTACACTCACTACCAGTACCACACTGACTACACTGCTGCACTGGGCTAAACGAGCTGAAACCTGGCCTAAGTAATCTGATGAAGCCCGTGTCCTTAAACCTCAAACTCGCCTTAAACTTAAACCCCACTCCAGCCTTGCACATCTTCCTGAAGCCTTGCCTTACCGTGCATTCTTGGAGAAGTCGTGAATCTTACTTAAGTCTCCCTGTGCCCTGTGCTGTCCGTCCGGTGCCTGTCATACGGCGTTTCTGTGGTAGCCTTGTGGAAAGGCAGCAGGAAACCTGGGACCTGTTCGGTGATCGCCACGACCGGAGAATAAAGTTCGAACATTCGGACCATGTCGCGCATAGTAGTATTGAAAAGTGAATGACTTTCCACGTTGCCGTTGCAATGCCTCTTGTGTCTCTGCACGGAGTATGGGTCACAAGGGGAGCCACACACCATGAGGTCTACAGTTTCATCGGTTGCGCCATACACAGCTTCTTCAGTGTTTCCAAGGCATGCCAAGCAAGGGCACTTCGAAGGTCTTTCTGCTGCAACTGATATTTGATCTTCTATACTGCAGAACATGTGCTGAATCTCGTTGGGAAAGTTCTCCATCACGAAAGCCCGGTAATCAGCATCAGTGTCCGAGGCTGAAACGACCGAAAACTTGATGCCGAGGGCCTGCAGCAGACCAGTGCGGCTCAGTACGGATCAAAAGGTTGCAGGAGTTTCGGGAGTTGAGTTCGGTGTCAACTGAGCAGCAGCAGCAAAACCGCAGAAGCTCGAACACAACAAAGGCCAATATCCTGGAAAGTTGCAAAGAAACAGAGTGCCTGTGTCTTTTTTGCTGTGCAAATCTGGGTTTCGTTGATTGCCTAAACCATACACATGCTTCGGCTTTGGCTTCAAGCTCAATGTCGTGGAAAATCGTGCTTGGATGGGGGTTGTTCGAAAAGCCTGCCTGGGCCTAAGACTTTGTGCTGATGATACATCACCCCGACCCCCCCCCGCAAACCTGGCAGAATCTAATATCCAACCATGCCCCAAAGTGCTAAGTAAGTTTCAAGCACACCTAACGGCCAAGCTAAGTGGCTACTTTAACCCTACCCAATGCATTAAACCTCAGGACGCAGGCCTAAGGCCTAAGGCTAGTGCTACTGCTAGTGGCTGGTGAGTGTGACTAAGGATTGAGTCGGTCGATGCCAGCCTACACCATGCCTCTACGACATAAGGACTCTACGACTCTACGACTCTACGACGGCGCACAAGCGCAAACCCCAACATTGCCAAGAACAAGACTGTGACTCAAGCAAGCAGCGCCACGTCCTAACCTAACGGTCCTAACCGTCCTAACCGTCCTAACCGTCCTAACCTAACCCAACCATGGAAAGAAACACTGGTGATCTTTGGGGGCCCGGCCTTCAGAACCCAAGACTCGGCACTGCAACCGGTGCATGCACTGAGAACGTTCACATGTTCTGATTGTGAAAGAGATATATCATCGAAACCCAAGTGACGCCCTGCTGCTTTCAGAAGGGCCGCCCACCACGTGCTCGGGAGCCGACGACCACTGCTGCCACCGCTGCTCTCTCCGCCCTCCCCTCTCTCATTCTCTGACATGTCAGCTGTACTAGGTGTGCGGATAAAATCACATTGGTCGATCTGGTGAGCCAGATCCTCCTCACCCAGCTCCTCTCGCAAAACATCTTCCCACTCGGCAGCCATGGCTGCACGTGCCCTGAACAAAAGGATTACCAGGTTTACAGGGTATAAGTATGTGTTTACTGTCTGGCGACCTACCTACCTGGTCCTACCTGCCCTTACCTCAGAACTGAGAACTGAAGGTCCGTGTCCCTGTGCCATGCTGCAACTGTAAGTGTAACCTGTCGCTGCCTGCTACGTCGCTACGTGCTGGCAATGCTGAGCAAACAGTGGCCATCATCGTATAATCACATAATCATAAACGTCATAAACTGTGATAAAATCAATACTTGCTGCTGACATCGGCAAAAATGCTGAACTGCATTGACTCGACACACAGCTTCATCAAAACCTGTTTGAGCCCTTGTGGCTTAAACACTGTGCAGCACGTTTGTGAAGCACTCAGACAGACTACTCGGAATCGCAGGGCCCAAGGAATCGAAGCGTGCTACCCGAAGACACCATTATGCACGAAGCAACAACTGACACAGCCACTGGTGTGGCGAGACGATCGGCAGAATAGAGGCCATAGGCATGCTGCGGCTCTGCCAAACTGATCAGTAGACACGCACCGGATCTGAATCTGGTTGGGCCGGGATGCAACAGCCTTTCTCCTACCAACTGCAATTTGTTGAGACCCCAAGAACTGGTCGAGTCTACTCTAATCACTCTAATCTCGCTATGACTATAAATCAGAAGTCCACACACAAAACACACGCACACACACACACGGTTTTGAGGAAGTCCACAATCTCTAAATCTATGTCGATCGACGATGAGGCCAACACAGAGACAAACTGAGTGGCTAATCATCGACTGTGGTCACTGGTCAGGTGTTCCTGCACACATCTCATTGACAATCCCAAATTGCCGGGCGGTTTTAATTTCCCTGCAAGATTAGGCAGCAGCAACAGGTGGAGACCAACAAAGCACGTCAAGCAAAGAAACATTTGGAGACAAACGAGAAACACGACCAAACATTTCTTATGAGGAGAGCTCGTAACAATTGAGCAATAAATGGAAAAGCGTAATTTGGCTACCAGTTACACAAGTAAACATGACAACTGGTTTAATATGTTTGTCAGTATATATTTGCTAAACCGTCATACAACTATAATATATGGATATAATAAACAAATACTGAAAAAACACGAAACAGCAACTAAAATGCTTATTTCCGCAATATTTTGCAATGTTCCAAATGTTCTAAAAAAAGACGCAAAAACAACGCAAAAAAAACGCAAAGATAACGCAAAGATTTCGCAAAGATTTCGCAAACATTTCGCAAACATTTCGCAACCCATTTCGCAACCCGAAATCCGGGGAGCAAAAAAAACGCAAAACCATAACGCAAAGATTTCGCAATATTTCGCAAAATTAATTATTTTATGTTGACTGGCTGCGTAGCCCTAATCATCTCATAAGTCCAGCTGCGTCCTGCTCAAGCGCTGCAGCAGCATGCCGACGAGACGAGGCACCAAGACGACACATCCCAAACAACACACTCGCGTAAGGTCTCTTTACACGATATTGCGCATCCGATCCACATCCACATCGGCCATGACACCGTGCGATCGCTGCGGCTAACCGCGATCTGGCCGCGGAAGAGGCAGGAATCGCGCTCCAAGTCAGTCACGTGAGGACATGTGACGAGAACAGTCGTGCCAGGCTATTGTACCAGCTTCGCTTGCCGCGAAGCAGAAGCGCAGAAGATGGCACGACAGAAGCAGGCGGCCCGCACCAAGAGGACATCCGCCGAAGCCGGCCAATGTGGTCCTTTGCCGGCTCAGTCTGACAGCAGCGCGCGGCGAAACGAGTTGCAGGCAGAGCCGGCTGCAGTAGGAGGCGGTGCTCGAGAAGCCCTGCCAAGAGAAGGTGCCGGAGAACGACCGGAAGAAGAGGACAGCCGCGGAGCACGGCGAAAAGAGCTGCAAGCGAACCGGGCAGCAGTTGGGGGCGATGCTCCAGGACCCCTGCCAGGAAAAGGTGCTGACGGACGACCGGGAAAAGAGGACAGCCGCCGAATACAGCGACAAGAACTGCAAGCGAAGCGTGCCGCAGCGGGTGCAGGCAGTCGAGGACCTTTACCGGGAGAAGGTGCTGGAGGACGACCGAAAAAGGAGGACAGCCGCCGAGCACAGCGACAAAAGCTGCAAGCGAACCGTGCCGCAGCGGGAGGAGGCAGTCGAGGACCTTTGCCAGGAGGAGGAGGACGACCGGAAGAAGAGGACAGCAGCAGAGCACAGCGAAAGGAGCTGCAAGCGAACCGTGCCGCAGCGGGGAGAGGTAGTCGAGGACCTTTACGTACCTTTGCTGTCTAGCCTGCGACGACAGCTAGTACCTTTTTGCGTTCGTGACGAGCCGCCGTGGCGGCGAGCGAAGAAAACTCAAAAACCTTAATGCCCTAACTCCTAACCCGTGTGCTGCCTCTCCCACTTTAAGCAATGTATTTTCGAGCAGTGATTTCTTGAGAGAAGAAATTTCCTTGAAGAGCATGTGAAATGTCCACGTCGTGTTACATTGCTGCTCAAGAGTGGGAGATGGGTCTCGACTAGGACAATTCAGCTGAGAGATATTGCCAGCTTGATTTGGGCCTGCCTCTCCTCTGTTGAGCGCCTGCAAATTCTTCACGCAAGCTGGCAAATCCGTGCTAGCTTCTTCTGTGCCCAACCTGCTCTTGATTCGCAGCCCGAGGCATAACCATTGCGTTAGTGCTTGGGCCGAGTTTTAGGGGCGAGCGGTGGCCTGCAGCACTTGAAGGATGGCATCCGAAGAAAGTGCAAAGAGGCAGAGGACGGCCAGCGACTCTGCTTACGATGCTCATCTCAGCACATGTTTGCGAACTTCTCAGGGCTCGGCTTTTAGGATGCATTGGGAGACACCTGAATTTCGAAATAGCTTGCTTGATTTCAGTGTACCTTTGGGAAGGGGGCCACTACCCCTCATTCCTGTGAGCAGCAACATTTCTGTTCCGGTTCCCAAACAGCCGGCTGTCTCTTTTGCACATCGATTCTCTCGTGTACGTCATGATATTTCTTGGGAGAACCAGACCGAGAAGAGACTGGTGGCGGCCGTTCGGAAGTGGACTGCTCTTGTACTCAGGAGCCCTCAGTCTTTCGATGTGGGTCGGAAGGTCACGTCACTAGCACCTGTCGGGGTCCAAGTGTCAAGGTCGCTGCGACATGTGTTCGCAGGTAAGGCAGTTGGAACTCTGCACAGTCGGGCTGATCCGCTCATACGATACGTGGCATGGGCTGATAGGCATGCAGTCTTGGCATTTCCATTCAAGGAGGATGACATGTACGAGTTTGCTTGTGAGTGCGAACATACATGCTCGCCGAGTTTCCTCAAAAGCTTCCTGAGCGCGGTGACCTTTTGTTTCTTCATTCTTGGATCGGAGAGCGCTCAGGAGGCGATGGCTAGCATGAGATTGAGTGGTGTGGCCAGGGCATGCTACTTGACAAAGCGGAAGAGGGTCCAGCGCCCACCGTTGTCGACTGAGATGGTACAGCGACTTGAGAGGTTTGTAGTTTCCCCCGATGGGGATCGCATTGATCGGTTCATAGCTGGATTCTTCTTGCTCTCGATTTTTATGAGGGCCAGGTATTCTGATACACAGAACATGTACAATGTCAGCGAGGACAAGCCGCAGGTCGACCCGTCTGGGCTTGGAGGCTACCTTCAGGCCGACATCGCACGCAGCAAGACATCTTACACCACTGAGAGGAAAACTCAGCTGCTGCCGATGGTGTGTCCACGCAAGGGTATCGCTGGCGAAGATTGGTTCCAGGCGTGGTCCATGCTGAGAAAGGAATTGAACGTCCCTGTTGGAGAGGGGCTGCCCGTCCTGCCTGCGATTTTGACCACCGGACACTGGGCTAGTCACCCTCCGAGTGCTTCGGTCGCTGCTGGATGGTTGAGAAACGTGCTCCGCAAGTGCGGATTTTCTGAGGCTCAGTGTTCCCCTATTGGAACGCACTCATGTAAAGCGACTTGTCTATCTTGGTGTGCCAGATTCGGCATCGACAGCTATGATCAGAGAGTGTTGGGGTATCACACGGCTCCGGGCGACCGCAGCGCCCAAGTATACAGCCGCGATGCCGTATCAGCATCGGTCAGGGTGCTCGAGAAAGTCCTCGCGGCCATTAGGTCAGGGACTTTTGTTCCGGACAGTACCCGGAGCGGGTACTTCCCCACGAAGGACGACCCCAACGCCAGCTACGATTACGAAGCTTCCTCAGAGGCGTCTCTTGATGAAGAGGATGCCGAGACCGATTGTCAGGAGCTCGAGCGAGCGCTGGACGGGGTCGTGGATGGTTGGTGTGAGGAAGTGCCTAAGCGCGAGTTGAAGGCAGAGCACTTGGTTCGCAATCGGTCTTCACGCATGCTGCACTTGATTGCCGACGAGGGCGGAACTTCTTTATCTTGCGGCAGGACATGCACGAAGAACTACGAGAAGGTGGCAGCTGTTCCATCGTTTCTGTACCCTGTGTGTGCCAGGTGCTTCAACTCTGTCAAAACAGATTCCAGTGTCGAGCCTGCTGTTGGAGAGCAGGTTAAAGGGGATCAGAGCTGAGATTTGTGTTTGGCGAGCGTGACATAGAGGGATACTGAGGACGGTGTGCCGTTGCGGCCCCGACCGAGGTCGATGGCCGGTGTGCTATCCCCGCGTCAGAATGGCATCGGTGTGCATTTTGCCCCGAGTCGTATCACATGTCGGGTCAACGGTGTGTCAGCGAGACCCCGCCACGACAGAACATTGATGATGTGAAAGGGACGGTCCTGGCGTGATCACGGTGTGCCGTGTCGGCCCCGTGCGTTTTGTCCACATGTTGTTGCAACAGTGTACCATGCCAGCGCCAAGGATTGTACACTTCACATCGGTGCGGTGTGCCCATGGGCCCTGCGTGTCACGGTGATGGGATGTCAGTGGCATCGCGATTTTGAAGGTGACGCGACACGAGTTGGAGGCGAAACAATTCTTGAGCGACGTTGCGATGTGTGAGTGTCGGTAGAGAGTTGTTTGCAAATCGTTGTGATCAACAACGATGGGGACCACATGGGTTCGCGAGAGTCAGGTCGGCTCAAGCTGGAACCATGAGTATTACTGAGAGTGAGGCCAATTTTAGCTCCCGGGCTGCGAAACTCGGCTTGAAAGCTGAGGTGCTTCAGCTGCTTGTCGATGGTGGCGTCAACACTCTTGCCAAATTTGCGTATGTGAGCAGCTTCATTCCGGGTCAGAGTGATGAGGGTCCTTTTGTGACTTCCATAAAGGACTTGTTGAAGAGGGATGCTACCGTGGGGGAGCTTTCGGTGCTGCGCCGATTGCACTCTGAGGCCTTTGCTTTGGTCGCGGCCGAGCTTAAATCTCAGGTTGAGCGCGCCACCGATGCACCAGCGAGGAGCCTTGCCGCTCCTGACCGAGCAGATCGTCTGGCTCGTCAAGTGGTGCGGTATCCAGGCTTGACTATCGCCGGGCCTAATGAACCGAGTGACAGGTCAGTGGACAAGTGTTGTCAAATGTATGAAAACAATCGCCTTACATATCTTCCGCTGAGTTGGTGCATGAGCAAGGACGATGAGACTCGGAATTCCCGGGACAAGGAGGATCGTACCCTCACAGTTGACAATAGCGGTAATGTTCACATCAAGAACGCCGACATTCGAGGTGAGGCCGACTTGAGCACTGACTTGTTACTAAAGTTCGCCCTCACTCGGCGAGGACTCGCGATGGAACAGGCCGGATTGTTAGGTTTCAAAGAACATGAGAAATGGGCTGACCGCCTGTTGCACTCCAGATATCGTGAGGTGCCTTCGGGATACACCCGAGTCAGCATACAGCAGCTGCTTCAAGCCGATAAGCAATTGTTTGTCACCGCTGCTAATGAGTGTCGCAGTGGAGTGCAAGTCACGGAGACCGGTCGTCCATTGGACGAGGCGTGGATGCGTTGCGCCGATTTGACCGAGGTGTCTCATTTGCTCGCTCCCCTCGCGTCGCCTCCTCCCGCTAAGATTCCCTTTGAAAGACCCACTCCGTATGGCCGTGGCAAAGGTCGGGGCAAAGGTTCTGGTAAGGGTAAGCAACCGTCGCGCCGCGAGGTGACCATGCCAGAGGACCTAAAGGACGGGCACGCAAACACCCCGAAAGGAGTGCCCATTTGCTTTGATGCTCAGAGGGGCAAATGCACTAGGCAATTGACAGGCAACAAGTGCTTCAGGGGTGCTCACGTTTGCTGCTTTTGTTACCAGCCCGGGCACTTCTACCCCAACTGCCCAAAGCGCAATACCGAGTGACTAGGGGCCCAGGCTCCTGCTCCCAAGATTGCACGCGTTTCACTTCAAACCAATCTTCAGGCTGATGAGGTCAAGGCCATCGATGAAATTGAGTCGATCAGTAGCGCAAGTCTTGATCACGAATTCAAGGGTTCGGTCGAGGATCGAGCTCTGACCCTGCTGAACAATGCTGGTGTTGTTTCCCCCACTGATTTACTTGAGATCTTCCAATCACTCCCGACAGAGGCTTCCGTCCGAGGTGACCCATCACAAGGGGTCTCCTTCTCGACAGGTGCCTATTGCAGAGTCAAGGTTGGGCTGCGACGTAATGTCTTGCTCTTCCCGAATGTGACAAAGTTGGCCGCGCGTTTTGTGCGACAGCAGCTGCCCAGCTTAAAGTTCACGAGCTTAGCATTCTTTCGCAACGTTCAAACCACACCTCATGTGGATGCGCATAATTCTTCTTTGCCCAATGCTGTGTGTGCACTGTCTGACTTCGATCAGGGACAGGTGTGGGTTGAGAGACCAGGCGGCCAAGCTTGGTGCGATGTTGATGGCGAACTACGCAGTGGAGTCGAACTCAGCTTGGATGGGAGTCATGCCGTCTTCACCGCTCGACGTTTGACTCACGCCACTAGGAGTTGGTCGGGTGATAGAGTGGTTTTAGTTGCTTTTTCAGTCTCCGCCATTGATCATCTTAGTGAGACTGATAGTGCTACACTGACCGATTTGGAATTTCAGCTCCCGATGCAAGCCGACATTCTTGATGCCGAACAGTCACCTCCGGTTTGCTATGAAGCGCCGGTCGTTACCGGGGGGTGTGCTACTGATGAGTTTCCAAAACCACTCGGCCTCGCACAACCAGTGACTTCCCCGCCTCTAGCTTCCTCCAGGTCGGGTTTAGCCCCCGTAGAAGATTCCGTAGTATCTACTGGTCAGGTTCAGACCAAGCCGGTTGACCAGCCTGGTATTGTGCTCGAGCTGTTTGCCCGTGCAGGCTCTCTGTCCCGAGCCTTTCATCAGATTGGCTTTGAGGTCATGCCCATAGATAGAGGAAGTCACCGGCTTCCGTTGGCCAAGTTGTGCTCACTGGATCTTGCCTTGCCGAGCTCGTGGCAATATCTTTCGCATGTGCTTGACAACTATCATGTTCGGTACGTGCACATTGATCTGCCGTATGCCACCTATGGACCTAAGCAGGGCCTCCGACGACTGTCCCATGGATCTGTAGTTCCTGTAGGAGGCGCCGACGCCTCTCAGGTTCAAAGGCTCGCATTGGCCGACTCCTTGTTGGAACATGTCATCACCTTCTTAAAACGAGTTCAACAAATGGGCATCGCCTGGTCCATTGAGCATCCGCAGTCCAGCTTCCTGTGGCATATGCCTGCTGTGCGCCAGCTCACCAACACCACTACCGTGGTGTACGATTTGTGTGCCTTCGATTCTCCGCATCGCTTGCGGAGGCAACTGCTAACGTCTTGTAGTGCACTCAAGTGTTTACAACAAGTGTGCCATGGTAATCACAGTCACACGCCTGTGACTGGCGGTGTTGATACTCATCCCAGGCTTTTCTGTCAGCAGGTTGCCCACGCCGTGGCTAAACACTGTGGCTTTGACCCCCTTTTGTCTCCGCTGCAGTCCAGCCCTCCGCCTGTCACACAGCAGCGTCGGGGCAAACTTGGTGCGAGCCTCATCAGAGAATTTGGTCGCGTTTGCAGATGTCGTGTGCCACAGATTCCGCCTGTGGATCATAAAAATTGCTTGCAGCACGCCATCGGTGACATCCCCGCAGGCTCCAAACTTCTCGCCACTGAGGAGACGGGGGAGTCGGGTGGCTTCGAACTTAGTGTTGGTGTGTATGCAACACCGGATGAGTTTCTGGAGGAGGCCAAAGGATTACGGCATCCCTTCGAGACGTTTGCTGTCATCCCCGACGAAGTGAAACGAAAGCTTCATGAGGCCTTGGTGAAGGGCCCTGAGTGGGTTGGTAGGCAACGTGTGGCCACTCTCAACAAGTGGTTAGAATGGGCCAGGGAATTGGAGGAACCAGAGTCCCAACTTAAGGAGGGCCTCGAACCTGGTGTGAGGTCTGTGTTAGGATCAAAGAGGCTTCTCTTGCTCAAACGCATTGCTGATGACTTGAAGTGGCCCGACGATGGATGGTTTGAGGATACTTGTAAGGGTTTTGGTTTGGTTGGTTGGCAGAAGCCCACTGGTGTCTTTAGAAAGGAGCCTCGTCCCCAGGAGAGGACGGCTGACGAGTTTACTAAGGCCTGTAAGTACATTCGTCCGGCGCTTTTGGGTAAGGTTTTGTCCGAGGGTTTGAATGAGCATTCCTCGGAACTGTGGGATAAGACTTTGACTGAGGTTGCCGAAGGGTTCTTGGAGGGACCACTTACCGAAGAAGAGCTGACGAGAAGGTACGGCGACGCATGGGCCCCTGTGCGCCGGTTCGCCGTGATTCAATCTTCTGGAGGCAAGCGCAAGTTGAGACCGATTGACGACTACTCCGAGAACTTAGTTAATGGTTCTTTTTCTTATGGGGATAAGCTTGATCTAAGGGCACTTGACGAGATCATTGCAATATGTCGCTTTTGGATCCGAGCTCACACGACGGAGCATCAATTCTTTCTGGACATGGCCAGCGGACCACCGTTGGTTGGTCGAGTACACCCTGCTTGGGCGGGCTCGTCGTGGTGTCCTGAGCTGTGCACCTTTGATTTGAAGAATGCTTATCGCCAATTTGCGTTGAACCCGAGCCATCGTGCCTTCTCCGTCGTTGCCCTTCTCAATCCGGATAATGGCGACTTGGGATTGTTTGAGGGTAAGGCTTTGCCTTTTGGAAGCACATCGTCCGTGCTCCACTTCAACAGGTTGTCTAGGTTGCTGTGGCGGATAGGTTTGGAAGTCTTCCTGTTCTGGGCCAACTTCGTTGACGATTATCCAGTGATGAGCCCGTGCTGTCTTTCAGGTTCCACCATGGACACCTTGCTTGTGTTGTCCTCAGTGCTTGGTTTTTCCGCATCCCTTGACAAACTGAACCCATTTGCAGACGTCGCCTCCATGCTTGGGGTCGAGATTGACTTGAAAGGAGCCAGGGAAGGTGTCATTCGGATTAGGAACAAGGAAGGCCGATCCAGTGAGGTGTGTGATGCCATCCGTGAATGCATCAGTGAAGGTTGCATCAAGATGCGTACTTTTGCCAGGGTTGCAGGTCGTGTCCAGTTCTCCGATGCGCAAGTCATGGGGAGAACCGGAAAGCTCGCATTGGCGGAGCTGAGAGCCGCTTCCACACGCCACGCCTCCCGGTTTGTTCTGGGTCCCCGCGAGATCGAGGCTTTCGAGTTTCTCATTGATCGCCTCTCTTTCGGTTCCCCTAGGGTAGTCCCTTGTGTGGTTGCCCCTAAGCCTGTTTTGATCTTCACGGACGGAGCAAGCGAACAGTCTGGCAACACCGTTGGAGGTATTCTTTACTCTCCTTCTGATGTGCGGCCCCGATTCTTTTCTTGTGAAGTTCCTTGTGCCTTGGCAGACCGATGGAGGCAGCATCTGAAGCATATTATCGGACCCGTTGAGGCGTACGCTGTCGCCCTGGCACGCAAGGCTTTCCACCAGTATATGTCTGGACAGTATTGCCTTTTCTTCGTTGACAACGACGCTGTCCTTCTCAGCTTTGTGCGAGGAACGTCTAACAGTGATCACTTTCGAGAGCTGCTTCTCACATGGGAATGCTGTGAGAAACATGGTCCATCGTGGACATACTGGACAAGGGTCCCTTCCGCATCCAATCCTTCAGACGACCCGTCACGCGGTGAGTTCAGAGCACTTGTTGATTCGGGTGCATTACGAGTTAAGTGCTCATGCCCCATCTCGGGCATCCCGCTGGTCGACTTGTAATCTCTGGTCTTGAGTGGGAACGTACCGTGTTGCTACTTTCTGGGGAGGCCGGGCAACCCGGTGCGCCCCCTGAAAGAAAAGAAGGGTCCGAGTGATGCGATACGATATGAGTTGATTGACTTTTATACTTACGGAGTGAGTGCAACTTATATTCGCTTGAATTTGGATTTTGAGTTTTTCTACAGCAAAAAGTACCTTTGCTGTCTAGCCTGCGACGACAGCTAGTACCTTTTTGCGTTCGTGACGAGCCGCCGTGGCGGCGAGCGAAGAAAACTCAAAAACCTTAATGCCCTAACCCGTGTGCTGCCTCTCCCACTTTAAGCAATGTATTTTCGAGCAGTGATTTCTTGAGAGAAGAAATTTCCTTGAAGAGCATGTGAAATGTCCACGTCGTGTTACATTGCTGCTCAAGAGTGGGAGATGGGTCTCGACTACCCTCCCACCACACCCGTCGAGACTTCAGATCGCTTGGGGCCGATCTTGCGATTCCAGTCGTGCCCTACTCCGTAGGCTGTGCTCTACGTTTGCCCAACATGCGAACGGCATGTTGGCAGTGCGCCTAGCCCGCGGCCTAAGGCCGGGCAACCCGGTGCGCCCCCTGAAAGAAAAGAAGGGTCCGAGTGATGCGATACGATATGAGTTGATTGACTTTTATACTTACGGAGTGAGTGCAACTTATATTCGCTTGAATTTGGATTTTGAGTTTTTCTACAGCAAAAACGGGAGAAGGTGCTGGAGGACGACCGAAGAAGAGGCCAGCCGCAGTGAGCAAGGAAGACAGTTGAGGCGGACCATGTCGCAGCAAAGAGTCGTGCCCGGACGACGTCCTATAGTACGAGCTCCACGTTAGTCAGGCATAGTGAGCCACGATGCAGCTCGGCTGATAGACCCAGGCGGCGACGACCGCGAAAAGGATGCATGCAAAAGTGAGCAAGCTCACCCGATATGCTATGCTGCAAGAAGCCACATCCTCACCCTAAGCGGGGCTCAGGAGGTCCAGCCACCGTGTTTGTGGTCGATCAAGTACAATCCAACGACCTCGTATGTTGTCAGGTCTCCATGTCGACAAGCACTGGCTCGCTACTACCACGAGGCCAGGTTCTTGAGCAGCTGTCACGACCAGCGCACCTGCCTTGGCAGTAGTCCAGCCGCAACCTGCTCGGATGCTGCAGCGGCGAGCCGACGAGACGAAGCACCGAAACAACAACACCCGAATGCAACTCGCATAAAGCCGTCGCAGTCGATATCAACATCCCATTTACATCCATACCGGCTATGGCACCGTGCAATCGCTGGGGTTATCCAAAATCCGGCCGCGGAAGAGGCACGAATCGCGCTTCGAAATGGGTTGCACGAAGACAAGTGCGTAAACAGTTGCACTCAGGCGCATGTCCTCAACTGGACCTGAATGGGGCTGGAGGACTCGTGCAGCAATTGATTCCGTTGTCCTCAGCTTCCGTGGAGTGCCAGGTGTTTATCCTCGACTCGAATGCGGCTGGAAGGCCCGCCACCGGTGTGCGCTCGTCCGCCACCTCCATGGGCTGCCAGGTCCTGATCCGCAATCCGCGTGAAGTCAGAAGGCCCGCAGCCCAGCCGGAGCACCAGAACCGATACTCGGCCTGGTCAGGCTTTCGTCCGCAAGACCTACGAGGCCAAACACTCCACGGCAATGAATCCCAACCATGTGTTCGGTCTCGAGCTGCTGCGCCTGTCTCCCGTCGTGCTCGTCAGCCATGACTCCAAGTATACACGTGCACGTACAAACGCACACACACCACACACACAGCAACGAATTAAGACCGGACAGCTACTATGTACCTGCACCGGCGGCTGCGGAGCGCAAGACCAGCCAAGCAGCGAGCTCAATCCGTGATTATGTGTCGGCCCAAGCCAAGTCGAGTCTCGGCCAGCGTAGGGCGACCGCCCCGAGAAGGAACCACGTTTGCAGCCGAAGAGTTACATACAATCCAACGGCCTCGCGTGTTGTCAGGTATCTAGGTCGACAGACATTCGCCCACAACGACTACGAGGCCGGGATCTTGAGACTAGCCCAACTTGCTTAACGTCAGTCCAGCCACAACCCGCTCGGCCGCTGTAATGGCAAGCCAACGAGACAGAGTACCAAAACGGCACGAACCCGAACAAAATTCGCTAGGCGCCTTCGCAGACGAAATTACATATCTTGCTTAACGTCAGTCCAGCTAGAACCTGCTCGGCCGCTATAGTAGCAACCCAACGAGACAGAGCCCAAACGGGCACGAACCCGAACAAAACTCGCATAGAGCCTTCGTAGACGAGATTACATATCTGATTCACATCTGCCCAGCCATGGCACCGTGCAACCGGTGTGGCTTCCCGCGATCGGGCCACGGAAGAGGCACGACTCGCTTCTCGAAGAGTGTTACATAGGGCGGTGTGAGTAAACGATCGGGCCAACAAGCACAGCGGAAAGAGCTGCAAGCAAGCCGGGCAGCAGCAGGAGGGGGTGCCCGAGGACCCATGCCAGGAGACAGTGCCGGGGGACGACCGGAAGAAGAGGACAGCCGCAGAGCACGGAGCAAAGAGCTGCAAGCAGACCGGGCAGCAGCAGGAGGAGGTGCCCGAGGACCCATGCCGGGAGAGGGTGCCGGGGGACGACCGGAAGAAGCGGAGCAGCAGAGCACGGAGCAAAGAGCTGCAAGCAAACCGGGCAGCAGCAGGAGGAGGTGCCCGAGGACCCATGCCGGGAGAGGGTGCCGGGGGACGACCGGAAGAAGCGGACAGCCGCAGAGCACGGAGCAAAGAGCTGCAAGCAGACCGGGCAGCAGCAGGAGGAGGTGCCCGAGGACCCATGCCGGGAGACGGTGCCGGGGGACGACCGGAAGAAGAGGACAGCCGCAGAGCACGGAGCAAAGACCTGCAAGCAGACCGGGCAGCAGCAGGAGGAGGTGCCCGAGGACCCATGCCGGGAGAGGGTGCCGGGGGACGACCGGAGAACAGAGGCGGATACGGCCCACCTTATCCCATTGAAGAGCAACTGACGGAAACCGAGGTGCAGCAGATGTGCGAGGATTTCCTGCGAAGCTGGACTCGTTTCGGATTATCCAGGGTGTGCCAGTCGTGCCAAACTTTGACACCAGCAAGACAATGCCGGTCATCGGGCCCGACTCGGACACGGACATGCCGGAACTGCCTCGAAAGCAAGAACAAGATTCATCTGCCAAGCTTGCCACCTATACCAGCGACACTGCGAGTACTTAAGCCGATCGAGCATCACCTGCTCGCCATGGCGCGCATATCCCAAGTCGTCCTGGACAAACTGCCCTCAGGGGGTCCCAGCGGGCAATGGGGCCGGATGTACGCCGTGCTGATGCAGGACCCGTGTATCTGCGATGTCCTAGAAGGTGCAGTCTTGGAAGAGGACGGCACAGTCAGCGTGCAGGGTGCGGATGGCATGATAGCATCATCCGCACGGCTGGAGCACCTGTACGGAGCCCTGCAAGAGCTACAGAAGCAGCACATGCTATATCGAGGCAATCCAGCCGTCCAGGAGGTCATTAGGAAGATGAGCGCTATCCTGCAACAAAGATCGTCTCAGGCCGCTGCAGCTCGCTCTGTCGCAGACAGCGAGGAGCCCCCACAAAAGGCAGCGGAGGACGACGATCAACAGTTCACCTACCTCGTGCCGAAGGATCCGAAAGTCCCTAGAGCTGACATGGTCGAGCTACGGCAGACAAGAGGCAGCGCCCAACTGGCAGACGACATCGACGTCAAATTCTTTCCACACTTATTTCCGGACGGTACGAATGGCTGGAAGGACACGTACAAGAGCTTTTCGCAGTATGCCCGAAAACGTTTGCTAGGACAAGATGGTCGCTTTGAACAATCGGCATCCTACATCATGTGGCTCCTGGAAACGCAGCTGAAGAAGCGGTTGTCCGGCAATGTGAATGTCCGCGTGGGCTTGCAGCAGAGGCCTGCGGGCTGTCTCGGCTATCAGGATGGAAGCCGACGAGTCTATACAGCGTTGCGCGACATCCCCGGCACGCAGCCATATCTCTACGCCAAGAAGGGCGTCGCACTCAACATGTATGAGCAACTTGGACAGCCGCAGTTCTTCCTCACCCTCACCTGCCACGCACGCCAGCCGGGCATCCTGGCAGCCGTCATCACTGCCAGATTACTTCGCTCGACTCCCGATCTCGAACCTGCCGAGTCACTTGCCCCACGGATGGAAGCAAGTGAAGGTAGGGTACCGACACAGCTTTCCGTACAAAGCAATTTCTAAGAAAACCTCTGCCGTCTGCAAGCCCCATCGAATCCAGCAGCATAGAGAATGGAACCAAACCCAAGCGCCGCCCGAGGCTTCGACGCCAGACTGCAGAAATATTGCGGCGCTACCAGCAAGAGGACTTTACCTGGGACGGTCTAACCGCCAATCAGCTCTGCAACCTGCATCCAGCAGTGGTGGCGCGCCAATTCATGCATCAACTGCGACAGTTCCTGCGATGGCTGGCTCCAGACATCAAAGCGGACGACAGAGCGGACGCTGACGCCGACCCGGAAGACCAACGGCCGGACGAAGAAGAGGATGACGACAAGAGCGCAGCTGCACCGGCAGCTGATACAGCCGGCCAACATTACAAGGTCCACACCGAACCCCCGCCCTTCCATGTCACCGAGTACATCGTCCGCATAGAATGGCAGAAGCGAGGATACCCGCATGCGCACATTCTACTTTGGTGGCAGCCGCGCCGCTCGGAGAAGACACCTGCAGCCGAGAAAGCAAAAGACGTATCTTGGTCCGACGAGGAGGCATGCGGACAATACCTGCCGCAAACTGCGGAGGAGCTGAGTGACAAGTACATTTAACACGGTTTAGGGTTTAGGGTTTAGGGTTTAGGGTTTAGGGTTTAGGGTTTAGGGTTTAGGGTTTAGGGTTTAGGGTTTAGGGTTTAGGGTTTAGGGTGTGTCGACCAAACTGTTGCGGTAAAAAGAATGTAGGACGGACGTCAGAGTTT